AGGAGAGTATGGGCGTGAACGCCGTTATCCCGCTGCCGTGGATCGAGGCCCTCTTTGGGTGAGCAGTGAGCAGTGAGCAGTGAGCAGTGAGCAGTGAGCAGTGAGCAGTGAGCAGTGAGCAGTGAGCAGTGGGCAGTGAGCAGTGAGCAGTGAGCACCCATCCCCCATCACGACAGCGTGAAACGTGGCGTTGATGTGACGAGCACACACATTCTTCCCGCATGCACACTGTGGTGTTGGCTGTGGCTGCGTTGGTGCGTGGTGGCGTGCTCACAACCGTACACGTGACTGTGTGCAGTCCTGCCTGTGTGTGTGTGCATGTGCATATGAGCTTGCGCTTATGACCATCTCTATTGAATCAGGCTGATGTTCGTGCACAACCGGGCGACCGCGCGCGTTCTGGGCGTCGTCACCTGTCTCTCCCTAAACTTTAAGGTCGCCGCATGTGGATGTGGGTGCTGGGTGTGAGTGTGCTCACTTGAGTCTTCCCGACAACCCCTCCCCTTTCTCTCTCCCCTGCTATCACCACCTCAACTGCACCGTCATGTTACCACCACCATCACGCAGGAGTCACCGCATCTCGTGTCGGCGGCGTTTTTGTACGAGCACCTCGTCCCTGCAGTCGCATCCGTTTCCCTCTACTCCCGGAACATCAACGCCAAGACAGACGCAGACAGGGTATGGTGCCTGTATGCCAGTGGCACCCGCAACCACGCATGCTTTGCGCATATGGTTGTGCGCGAACGGCCCGTATTTGACACTCGCCACTCGCCACTCGTCACTCTTTCTCGCCGCACCTTTTGGTTTTGTTCATCTCACGAACTATGGCTCCACCACCACTGCCATCTCTGTTGCCGCTGCCACGTCCACAGGCCCCTATGCCCGGGCCCCTCATTGCGCCGTTTTTTGCGTCTCTGCTCTCGTCGCCGCTGCTGACGCACTCGGATGTGATTGCGCACCAGCGACGCTTCATTGCAGCTGTCAACACACACTGCCGCCACGTCGTCCCATTCATCTTCCTCGCCAAGGTGTGTGTATGTTGTGTATGTTGTGTGCATGTGTTTGTTTGTGTATGTGCATGTGTGTGTGTTGCGTGGTGTGTATGTGTTGTGTTGTGTGTGTACGTGGCGAATTTAGCGTGACGATGCATGTTGTTTTGTGTTGTCTGAAATGCAGGTGATGGTGTCGTGGCCAAAGCGCGACGACACGTGGGATTCCGCCAGTTTGCATGCGTTCCGCTTGGCAGCAGCGTACAACTGCAGGGCACAGGTCCGTGATTGCGCCATTGCCAATGTGTTGTGCGACGGGGTTGGTTTGCTTTGTATGTCACAAATGAGAGGAGAAATAAACCCTTGTGTTTGTTGAGATGCTCATCCCATGTACTTGCATTCACACACGTAAATCAACGTGCGTACCCCCATCCATGACAGGAGGTTGCGCTGCGCAATGCGTCGCTGCATGTGGTGCTGCGTGTGCTGATGACCAACATCACCGCCACCTCTGTTGCTCTCGAAGGATTCCATCTCCAGCCGCTCATCGACCTCTTCTCCCTCTTCACAGCACGCGACTGCTGGGTCTTTGGCGGTGGGTCGTGTGTGCGTGAGCTGGTGCAGGGAGCTTTGCTGCCGGTAGCCGAGAAAGATCATGTGCGCATGTCTCTCCTCACCCCTATCCCGTTCCATCCCCTTCTCTCTCTCCCTCTCTCAACCTCCATCACCGTTCCAATCAAATTCCTGCAGATGATCTGTTCTGTGAGGCATCAGCGTGGTTCCAGTCCCTCTTCCTCGAACCACAACAGCAGCAACAACAGCCCACCACCACCACCACCAATGCTGCTGCCACCATCCTGGAATCGTTCCTGCGCGATGGCGATGGCGACCACGCAGCTGCTCCCCCGACATCCCAGACTACGGGCACCGCCGTTGCTCTCCTTCTCCTCGCAGCACAGGGCACAGGTGCTCACATGTCCACACCCGCGTGCATGTGGTGTGATGTGTCGCCACAAAATGTATTATTTGTGCAAGTGTGTGTCTGTCTGCATATGTGTGTGTGTGTGTGTGTGTGTGTGTGTGTGTGTGTGTGTGTGTGTGTGTGTGTGTGTGTGTGTGTGTGTGTGTGTGTGTGTGTGTGTGTGGGTACTAGCCTTGCGTGCACTTGAGAGGTAGTTCCTGACTTGGTTTGCTCAACTGGCTTCATTTCATTTATTGATTCCATTTGGGTTCAACAGATGTTGCTGACGCGTGCTTCTCCGACTTTTGGTCGACCCTTCGCTCCATCTTCACGTACGGCCACACGGTCTTCGTCTTGCGTTGAAACGTTTAGAGCTTATGACCCACGCATATCTTCTTCTCTACCCACTTGCCAGCCGTCACAAACACACACACACACATACACATCAGGCGTACGCACATGCCTGCGGGCCGCAAGACGCGGCTGCTGTCGCTGTTTACCGCGTGTGTTGAGCTGCTGCTGACGGCGGATGCGCACGAGCCGCTCGGCTGTAGGACAGACGTCATCCTCTTCCAGCAGCGCCGCCACACAACAGGTCAGCTGGTTGTACATGCACGTCCGTGTGTGCGTGCGCGCGTGTGTGTATGTGTGTGTTCGTGTGCATGTGCGTGTGGGCGTGTGGATGCGTGTGTGCGTGTGTGTGTATGCATGTGCGTGTGGGCGTGTGGATGCGCGTGTGGGCGTGTGTCTGTAATTGTGTGCACACGTGCTCGTTCTGTTGAATTTGCACTTGTCCCCCAAAGCTCATGTTTGCGACTCAATCTGCCGCGGCTCAAATGCACCTGCTGTGCTCGGAACGACTGTCCTGGTTGTTGCTATCAGCGTTTGCGCAGGAGATGAGCCAATGGGCACGACGCAACAGCGCCGCTGCTGCCGAAAGCGTGATGCAATATTGCCTGTCCAGGTGGACGCGCGATGCGCTCGCTGTTCTCTCTGACCCGGATGCATTTGAGATTGAGCTGGACGCCCTCCGTATCCTCGCCAAGGTCCTGGCCAAAGATTGTGTGCGTGCGTGCGTGCGTGCGCGCGCGTGTGTGTGTGTGTTTGTGTTATGTGGCATTTTCGAGACACTTTCCGCGTCGACGATGCTCAGACGTCCATGTCTCATGCTACGTTCCCTTCCCGCGTTGTCAGATCACCCGCAGTATCCACGCCGCTGTGGAACAACGCGCCCTTCCGTGGGCTATGCAGGTTCGTTGGTCATTTCTTTCCACCTATCCAATACAGCTGCTCGCCTTCTCAATCTTCCCCGCCCTCATCCATCCTGCCTCGTTTTCTCCTTCCCCATACACCTCTCACCCACATCACACATACACACACATACACACACATTTATATTCACACACATTCACACACCACACACCACACACACACACATACACTACCACACACGCACACACACATTCACACATACACTAACAAACAAACACACTCACACATGCACATACCCCTCCAACTTGTGCACGTGAAGAGCGAGGAGGAGGACCGCCGCCTCATTGGCGTATGCGCACTCGCGTGTTTGCCCACGGCAAATGCCGGTGTTGGTGTGGACGGCGTCTGGTCAGACGACATGTTGAGCGAGCGGGTGCTGCTGCTTGCCTCGTGCCGCGTGCCCAAGCGGTCTCTGTCAGCCGAGGAGCGCGAACGCGTGCCTGCAGGCAACATGCCGTGGTCGCGGCTTGCCCGCCTTGCCCCCGAGCACTGCTGGGTTGGCGTGCGTGACGTCCTGTTTGCCGCCATGCGCTGCTTTGCCGTCACGGCCCTCAGCCCATTCGTTCCCTACCCGTCAACCATCCAGCGCACACGCGATGCTGTGGGTGGTGTTGGTGGTGTCCATGGCGCGAGTGCTGTTGGTGCTGTGGCGGGACCCCGCGCGCGCATGACGGGTGCTGGTCTGCGGGCGCTGCTGGTGGAGGTGACAGCCGCCATCAACAGCATGATGCGCGAAGAGACAGTGCCCACCATCACCGCCGCCGCGCTCGCCATCTGGCTGACGCGCGTGGCGGACGTGGATGCGCACGCCGTGCACGCGCTGCTGTCGACGCTCATGCGCGAGCTAACGGCGGTCAATTCGCACGGCCGCACAGTTGCACCGGGCCTGGCGCTGCTGCACGCGGCCAACGCTGTGGTGTTTAACCCGGTCGCCACGACAGCGGCTGCCATGAACGTGGACGTGATGGCAGCCGTGGCGCAGTGGGTGTCGGAGCTGTTGACTGTGGCGGAGAACGCGGGACGGGAGGAGAAGCGGGGCATGATGCTGAGCACGTCGCTGTGGCTCAGCAGCACGCTCACCCACGCCAACACGGCACTTGCTGTTGACGACAGCACGAATGATGGTCATGGTGGCAGCGATGCGCTGCAGCACGCGGTTGTGAAAGGGCTTGCGCCGACGGTGGCGAAGATGCTGCTGTTTGGCCCCTTGACGCTGCCAACGCTCCTTGTCATCTACGACACCATCGCATACTGCACAGCCGAGGGGCTCGTCACGCTGCAGCTTCCCAACGGTGCGCTGTTGTGTCGTGGTTGTGGTTGTGGTTGCGGTTGTGTTGTGGTTGTGTTGTGGTTGTGTTGTGGTTGTGTGTTTGGGGGGGGGGGGAAGGGAATGTGTTTGTTTTGTATGACATTGAGTTTCTCACGTGTGAGTTTTGCTCTGTGTGCTCCGCCACTTTCGTCAGGGGTCACGTCGCCGTTGGATTCCCGCGTGAATCGCGCCATCCTTCTCGGCGCTGTCTTCAGCCTCTCCCCGGCAACGCGTGAGTCAAGCAGGGCTTCTGTGTGTTTGTCTCAGCGGTGGTCTGATTTGTGCTTGGAGGGCCGTCGACAGGTGCTTGTCCTCACCTCTCATAGTCTCACATGACACACTCACGCACACGCACACCTCTTCATGCGCACACATGCTTGCTCGTGGCGTTGGTTGCAGTTTCGCTGCTCTACCCTGCGCTGGCTGCTGCGGACGACGCCATCACGGCCGACGGATCCAACTTCCACACCAACACGCTCGACCACCGCTCGAAGCACCGGTGCTGGCAGGTGCTGGTGCTCATGGCGGACCGCGGCACGGACGACGTGAAGGATGCCCTGCTGCGGCGCTGTTTGGCACGCTTCACCTCGGAGCGGCATCACTCTGTTCGGTACATGATTGAGTGGTGCCTGATGCTCTTCCTCGCAGAGGGGCGCCTCTCCTTTGAATCCCTCGCTAACATGGACACCAACGCCGAGGCCAGGTGCAGTTTGTGTTTGTTTGTTTGAGTTTATTTGAGTTTGTTTGTTTGTTTGTGTGTTTGTTTGTGTGTTTGTTTGTTTGTTTGTGTGTTTATTTGTGTTTGTTTGTTTGTTTGTTTGTTTGTTTGTTTGTTTGTTTGTTTGTTTGTTTGTTTGTTTGTTTGTTTATTTGTGTTTGTTTGTTTGTGTGTTTATTTGTGTTTGTTTGTTTGTGTGTTTATTTGTGTTTGTTTGTTTGTTTGTTTGTTTGTTTGTTTGTTTGTGTGTTTATTTGTGTTTGTTTGTTTGTTTGTTTGTTTGTTTGTTTGTTTGTTTGTGTGTGTGTTTGTTGGTTTGTGTGTTTGTTTGTGTGTTTGTTTGTTTGTTTGTGTGTGTGTTTGTTGGTTTGTGTGTTTGTGTGTTTGTTTGTGTGTTTGTTTGTTTGTTTGTTTGTGTGTGTGTTTGTTGGTTTGTGTGTTTGTTTGTGTGTTTGTTTGTGTGTTTGTTTGTTTGTTTGTTTGTTTGTGTGTTTGTTTGTGTGTTGCAGGTACATCTGGAAGAACTTTGCCAAATTCTTCTCTTTGCCTTCCATACCACCCTCCCTCAATTCACTCCTCACCACCTCCCCTCTCGATTGCTGTAGGGTGGCGCACATTTGCTCTGTGCTGACAGTGATGTGGCGCGTCGTGGACGCCTATCGCCCGCGTGATTCAAAATGGCTCGAGATGTGCAGCTTTCTCCTCCAGTTCTCCCTTCCGCTCTCCCTTACCATTCACGTGCGTGGACGATGGCAGTGTTTGTTTCCATGCGCGCTCTATGTGCATTTGTGTGCTTGTACGATGCACCTTTAACGCGCGAGCACTAACATCTCAACTTGGAACCTCGTTTGTCCTGCAGATGACGGCGCGGCTATACAGCTCAACCACATTTTACTCTGTCATCAGGGTGCGGATTGTGTGTATGTGTGTATGTATGAATGAGTGAGTGTGTGTGTGTGTGTGTGAGGTGGGGGGGGGGGTTGCAGAGGTGGTACCTTTGAGGTGAACGGCCTTTGCGTCTTTGCGTCTTTGCGTCTTTGCGTCTTTGCGTCTTTGCGTCTTTGCGTCTTTGCGTCTTTGCGTGCTTGTGTCTCTCACCCACGATTCATTCATACAATGCCACGTGATGCAAACAACAACAACAACTGCCACACTCTTCCACCCACCAGTTGTTGGAGCAGACGCGTGATGAAGGGAACGGGCTGGATATCGAGTCGGTGCTGCGCGACCCGTATCTGCAGCGAACAAAAGCATTTCTGGAGCACGAGAGCGACGTCTTCAAATACGTCACTGGCCTTCGCGCGGATTTCTTCTTCTCCACGTTTGATCCCATCCACGACACGTCACTGGAGGTGCGGCAGCTGTTGTGTGGGCGCCAGCATGAAGGATGTTCAGTGTTGGTTTGGCGACAGTGCGGATGGCTCGTGTGTCATTGGCACTACATGCACCCGCCAACACAAGCCAAAACAAGTGCATGTATGACAACACAAGCGAACAAACCACACACACACGCACACACATAAACACAACCGCGCACAAGCAACAAACGCACCACCAACACCACCACCCCCTGTCACCCTTCCCTGTCGTATGGTGCAGTTCAACTTTACGGAGGGCCCTGTGCTGTTTGGGCTGGCGGCGGACGAGGCGCTGTCGTCGCCATTGATTCGCCAGTTCTCCGATGAGCGCGCGCTCGGGAAGTGGGCGGCACCTGCCCGCGCAAAGGCCGCAGACGCACTCATTGGCATGTACGTACTGGTGACGGAAGGAGAGAGGAGTTGTGGGTGTGTTTCTTGTGTGGTTCGTGTGTGTGTGTGCGTGTGTGTGCGTGGTTCTTGTACGCGTGGTTCTTGTGCGTGTGTAAATGTGTGTGTGTGTGTGCACGTGCGCTGACATTGTGATACTGGAGAGGAGTGACAGTGGTTATTATTGCACATCTTGGCTATTGACGTGCCATGCTCACGTGATGGATTGCTTGATGCACATTGTTGACAGGCGATCCAAGCAAGAAGTCCGGCGCATGGGCGAGGACGAGGTAATGGTCCTTGTGGTGCCTTGCTTTTGGGAGGAGGGGGGGGGAGTGGCCGCCAGCACGTTTGCACTCTTTGTTCTAGGTGAGGGGGGAAGCGTGCAGGAGTTTCAGCTTCTCATCCCAGTGCACTGACCAACAGAGCGAGGAGGTGGACGCGATTGGCAACGACGGTGACGAGCAAGGTGTCGGTGACGACAACGAAGAAGGCGATGGTGCGCTTGACATGGGCGCAGACATCCAGAAGAAGATTGACCCGTCCGCGCTCCTCGCCGCGCAGGACGAAGTCGCATTTGGCGCAGAGGTGTGTGTGTGTGTATGTGTGTGTGTGTGTGTGTGTGTGTGTGTATGTGTTTGTGTGTTTGTGTGTGTGTGTGGGGGGGGGGTATTGCGGGCGATCGGGGGTTCAACGCCCTTGTCTCTCCTTCCTCCATCCCTCTCCATCTCTCTCCCTCTTCCTCACGTCACATTTTTGTGTGTGTCCTTTTTCATGGAATAGAATGCAGCGCAGAGCCAGCGGCACGCCACGCGCCAGCGGTCAAAGCTGGTCGTTGTCGCCTCCCTCATCTCACTGGTCAGTGGAACAGGCTCCTTGGTCGCTGTGCTGGGCTGCCAGTGACGACCAGTGTTTCTGCCTTGTTGGTCAATCCACGCGTACTCACAGCATATCGTCTGCAACAACAGGGCACCAACCTCGGTGGGCTGAGCCGCACGTGCGAAATCTTCAACGTCGGCATGCTTGTCCTTGCCGCCGAAAAATACACGCGAACCAAGGTGAAATGATGCTACCTAGGGCGTGTGCGTGCGTGCGTGTGTGCGTGTGTGCGTGTGTGCGTGTGTGTGTGTTGCGTGCGTGTGTTTGTGTGGATGCGTGCGTGTGTGTAGTAAGTCTCGTTAAATCGCATTCGAAGCTGCTTCCGTGTTGCTTCAACTTGGTGTATGCTGCTTCACTGCACTGCGTTGTCACTGCAGGAGTTTCGCGCGTTGAGCGTCACCTCAGAGCGCTGGCAGCACTTTGAGTTTGTTGAGCCAGCCAACCTCACGGAATGGCTGCGCTCCATGAAACAGCAGGGATACACCATCGGTGAGTCTGCGTGTTGTACGTGTGAACAAGGCGTGTGTATATTTCGTGCATGTGCGTGAACATGTGCATATCTCACAATTCCCACTCCCTTTCTGACGTGACACGTGCCATCTCCAGTTGGTGTGGAGCAGACGGCGGACAGCGTGTCGCTGCCGCAGGTCAAGTTCCCAGAGTACACCGTGCTGCTGCTGGGCGACGAGGCAAAAGGCATCCCCGCCGACCTCCTCACGGTGCGCGTGCGTGTGTGTAATGGTGTGTGTTGTGTGTGGTTGGCAAGTGAATGAGCGCCATTGCTCAATCTGCGTGTGCCCATGTCGTGCCTCTGTGTTGGCCCGCGCGCGTGCAGGAGACGGACGTGAATGTGGAAATCCCGCAGAAGGGCGTCACGCGGTCCCTGAACGTGCACGTGAGCGCATCGCTGCTCATCTACAAATACGCAGAGCAGCACGTGTTTGTGCAGTAGTGAGCGTTGTTTGGCAGGGGCACGTGAAGCGTTTGCCACGTCATGATGAACTTTTGTTTCTTTGCTTGATTGATTGCTTGATTGCTTGCTTTGATTTGCGTGCGTATTGGAGTGGGAGTTGATACAAAATGCATTGATGTGGCAGGGAGGGGGCGGTGAGGAAAGACAGGCAAATGGAGACACACACACACACACACACACACACACACACACACACACACACACACACACACACACACACACACACACACACACACACACACACACACACACACACACACACACACACACACACACACACACACACACACACACACACACACACACACAAAACCACAAAACACCACACAAACCGCTCGTTCAAAGTTTCCCGCCGCGTCCTTCGCCACCATTCGCTCCCCACGAATTCCTGACCAACGACGACGCTACAACGATCGATATGAGCGCAGCTGTTCACGTTCATCCAACCCACTGGCATGCGGATGTTGCGTGGATGATTGGCATGCCAGCGATGGCGCGCCGATGGCTGTGCGGTTGGCTGTGCGTGTGAAGCGCCAGCGAGGTACATTTTCTCGTCTTCCACGTTGTGAGAACGCGCACCGCTTTGTTGCCACACACAACACACACAACACACAGAACACACACGCCACGACGACGACAGCGACGATGGACCAGGCGACTGTTGTGGAGAAGAAGGGTGCGCTGGCCAACGTGGCGCGGCATCCCAACGCCATGCGCATGAGCTTTCGCGAGTGCAGCACCGTCCTCATGCACAAGAAGCTGGGCAAGACTGAAGAAGGCACGGGCGACGCGGCCGATCAGCAACAGCAACAACAGCAGCAGGCTACATGCGCGGACGGCGCTGATGCCGGTGCTCGTAAGCTCACCTCGTCCCAGAGCTCCAGCAGCTCTGGCGGGCTCGTGCGCAACAAGCACGCGGAGGACACGCTGCGCGTTGCACTGGAGGACGACCCAGTTTGGAAGCCCGCAGATGGGGCCGATGACGACGACGACGAGGGCGACGAGGATGACGCATGGGACACAGCCCTGCTGCGGGATGCTTCCTCATTCAAGGTGTCCCGCTTCAGCCAGCAGCCAGACATGCACGTCGCGGAGGACAACGACGATGACACCGCGGAGGCAGATGCTGAGGCGGCCAAGGCCATGAAGTTGGCGCTCGGCGTGTACCCATGGCAGAAGCCGGATGCCGACGACAGCGGCGACGACAATGACGACGATGACGACGATGATGCCGATGGCGCTCACCAAGAAGAGCCCGGGCTTGAGAGCGAGCAGCAGCAACAAGAACAACAGCAGCAAGAAGGTGGTAGTGCTGAGCAGCAGGCTGGTGACGACGAAGAAGTTGAAGCGCAGGCCCAGGACACTGACCTTTCCAGCGATCCAATGTGGGTGGACGAGCCAGACACGACACCAACAGGTACTGGTGTTGCTGATGAGGCGACCGCCACTGCAGCAATCACCACGACGAGCACAGATACGGCACCACCAGGCACCGTCGTTGCCGACGTCACTGTTCGGCGCATTTCCGTGACCATCACACCAACGGGCGCCTTTGAGGGCGAAGTCAAGCACCTTTACGAGCGCGTGGAATCCGTGCAGGTGCCGTGCGTCAGCAAGTCTGGCGCCACCGTCGTCACCATGCCTGTCTGCTGCGTATGAGTTGTGTGTGTGTGCGCGCGCTTGTGTGTGTGTGTATGTGTGTGTGTGTGTGTGCTTGTGTGCTTGTGTGCGTGTGCGCGCTTGTGTGCTTGTGTGCGTGTGCGCGCTTGTGTGTGTGTGTGTGTGTATGTGTGTGTGCTGGTGTGCTTGTGTGCGTGCGTGTGTGTGTCCCCTCAATGTTGACCAAGTGCTTTCCGCTTTGCTATATACTTGCCGGCACGGTTCCTGCCATCCTTTTTATGCCTACCCGTAGTTGAGGGTTGTGGTGGTGATGTGGTGGTGGTGGTGTTCTGACCCAGTATAAGATTGTAACGCAGAGAAGATGGGAAGAGACCAGCAACAAAGACAAACAAAGAGGAAGATGGGAAAGGGAGAGGGCTGCAACAACGGCACAACGTTCCGCACATGGTTTCGCACACCCGTCCAACTACGCGTCCTCCAGGTGTGATATGGGGAGCTTTGCGAAGTGGCGGCAGACCCATTTTGCCTCCTGATCGAGGGAGAACCGGTTGAGGAGGCGCGCATAGTCGAGGAAGACGGCGCTCTTGGGCGGCGGCCCCGCAGCGAGGCGATCGCATGTTGCCAGTGGTGCCGACACCTGCTGCTGCTGGTGGTGCTGGTGGTGCTGGTGGTGCTGCTGTTGTTGGTCATGGGGCGCGGACGAAGACGACGCAGACACGTCAGCGGCGGCAGCAGTCTAAAGGGGGGGGGGGGCGAAGCATGTGTGAGCTGAGCAGGATACAAACGCGAGAGCGGAGAAGGAGAACCAGACAGACAGACAAACAGACAGGCAGACACACACACACATTTTGTGCACCTTGTCGAGCTCGTGTTTGCGGTGCAGGAGGAAGAGGGCAGCCATGTGCGGTTGCTGCATGGACCGCAAACACTCGACGGCTCGATCGGTGTTGTTCGTCGTCACAAAGTGCAGCGCCGCTTCGCCAAACTGCCGATGGCTGCACAGGTGCGTCGCATACTCTTCCCTGTCGGTCGTTTGTGTTGGTGTGTGTGTGTGTGTGTTGGTGTGTGTGTGTGTGTGTGTGTGGTGTGTGTGTGTGTGTGTGTGTGTGTGTGTGTGTGTGTGTGTGTGTGTGTGTGTGTGTGTGTGTGTGTGTGTGTGTGTGTGTGTGTGTTGGAGGGGGAGTGGAAAGGCGAGCACTTGAGCTGGTTGGGTGCGGTAATCTCTCCGCTACGAGCAAACGCAGCAGTAGCAGCAACGCTCATAACAACAACAACGCTCACAACACTCACGACAACACCAACAGCAGCAGCTTATGCCGCACTCACACGACAGCGTGCGCGGCCTGGGTGCTAAGTCGCGTCTTTGCAAGATCTACGGCTTCCGCCCATCGCCCGTACGCTTGCAAATACCTTGTGCGCATCCAAGACAGCGAAAAGCAGCGCAACATGAGCACAGTCAACTCGGTCACACAACATGCAAGACCTCAACTGCACAGCACAAAGGTTCTCATGCAATGCTGCTCACCTCCACAACAACGTGCAACTGTACACGACAACAACCAGACCATGAGCACCACCGTCACGCGTGCGCTTCCAACGCCGCCCCCGAGCGTGCTCATTTGTCCCTCCAGCTGCCACTCACTCACTTGCAGGCGTCGCGGATGTGTCCGATGGTGACGAGGAGATCAACGCCCTCCGTGATGCGGTCGGCAGCAATCAGATTCATTGCCGCAATCTGGAACATTGGCGGAGACGGGTGGCGGCGAGGGATATTGGTGTGAGGGAACGTCGATGGATTTAGTTATGCGCTGGATAGAGAGCCAGGTTCACCCGGGAGCAACAGAGTGGTACAAGAGCAGAAGACTAGACACACACACGCACGCACGCACACACACACACACACACACACACACACACACACACACACACACACACAGACGGGAGACACGAGACGCACACACACATGACGCGGGCACTTCGTGACAGGCACGGAGACATTGCACACACTAAGGAGTTAGGCCAGATGTGAGTTGT